GACCCTCTTCAAGCAAAGTGATAGCTCGGGAGACATGCAATTCAGTCAGATCTGGCATTATGACCTAAACTCACTCGCTTCAATGAATAACAATACTCAAAAGGCTCACTCAAAAGATTGAAAAAAACTACTTAAAATGTGTTTTCTGTGATTAGAAAGTAATGAAAATTCAAAGACGTCACTTTGTTTTTCGTCTACAATGCACATTTTAATTTTTTTTGATAAAAAAAATACAAATTGATTTTTTTTATTAATTGTAGTAATTAACAAATTAACAAGGTAAAAAATAGCGTACAAGTTAATTTAAATCTAATTTTAGTTTAAGCAATAGAAAGGAGAAAAATCTTGTTCCGCTAATTGTTTTGAGCAGTATATAATGTAGTCCGTCATTGTTACCATTGATATCATGTATGAAAAACTTTATAAATTGATAAATTTTATTGCAACCAAAGTCTAAAAAAGTGGCGAAATTCGAAATATCCATGACATTTTCAAACCCTGAGCAGTGTTGGCCTAGGGCTTCAGCGTGCGACTATCATACCTGACGTCGTAGGTTCGATCACCGGCTGTGCACCAATGGACTTTCTTTCAAAATTTTCGCATTTAACATTTGCTCGAACGGTGAAGGAAAACATCGTGAGGAAACCGACATGTCCTAGACCCAAAAAGTCGACGGCGTGTGTCAGGCACTGCACGCTGATCACCTACTTGCCTATTAGATTTAAAAAATGATCATGAAACAGATTCAGAAATCTGAGGCCAAGACCTAAAGAGGTTGTAGGTTCAAACCCTAACTCTTAACTTTAATCTTTTGACGTCGTATTTGACAGACTATTGAATGATTTGACATACGCGAATCATACTTAGCTGCTAAGTTCCCTCTTTCTTTCTTTAATTCCATACGAGCAATTGTTTGCATAGAACGGTCAGCGGGGTTCCAATGATCTTAGCAGGTGTGTACCATGTAATGTAGTTTTAACTACATCGGAATCTCGTTTGTTATAAGAACTAGTTATTGTAGATCAATGTTCTCAAAGCGACGTCCGTAAAGGGCAAGGTCTCGTACTAGTATTTATAAATCGCCTTTATTCCTCCTGAATGGCTGTAATTAATCGCTGTGTATTCGTCTTGTGTACAAAGGAAGGTTAAATTGGCATGTTACGTTGGGCGTTTGGTGAACAAAAGCAGAAGACAGTGTTACAACGCGTACGTTGTATACCGTACAAACGCGTATGAACTTCTTAAGTTTCGGATGATGATGTTTTTATCTATAAATAAATCAGTAGCACTACAATCTTTTGAAGTCTGAGCCTGAGATTTCTGTATCTGTTTCATGATCCTTGTCAATCTAATAAGCAAGTAGGTAGGCTCCTGTGCCTGAAACACGCTGTCGACTGTTTGGGACTAAGGCAAGCCGGTTTGCTCACGATGTTTTCATTCACCGTTCGAGCGAACGTTAAATGCGCACATTGAAAGAAAGTTCATTGGTGCACAGCCGGGGATGGAACATTCGACCTCAGGGATGAGAGTACACTGAAGCCACTAGGCTAACAGTGCTCTGTTGCTGTTTTTAACCGTACTAAAATTATTTATATTACTTTTATATGATTATTTTGAATAGTAACGCTCAGTAAAGTTTTAAAATACAATCTAAATACATATTACACGTCAATTGTATACGTATGACTTTTGTGGGATTGGTCAAAAATATATTTTTATGTCAGACTATCAGTTGTTAATCTATGGAATCTAATACATAGTAGAATTCATTAGAAATCTTTCAAAGGATCATAAGCGTCAAACTATCCTAACCTCTTTTGGCTTTTTTAAAGTCGTTCGAATAGGTATTTTAGCGCCATACTTTATCGTTATGTATTCCTTCAGTTAATCTAAGATTAGATACTAGCTGACCAGGCAAACGTTTGTTTTGTCATGTATATATTATTTCTAAGAAACATTTTTTTAATTCAATAAAAATAACTATCTACTATAATAAAAAATAGAGGTTGATCGTAGAGGGGTGAAAATTAAAGGATGTATGAATTTTTTAATGCCTCATAATAAAAAAATAAAAATGTTATCCAAAAATTTTTTTTTGTTGGGCTGGACACCCCTTATCACTTAGGGGTTTGAAAGATAGATAGTAGCCGATTCTCATACTTACTGAATATGCAAATATATTTCATAAGAATCGGTCGAGCCGTTTCGGAGGAGTAGGTATGGGAACGAACATTGTGACACGAGAATTTTATATATACAGAAGTCTCATTCGTTTGAATTAAAAAAAGCTTCTAATGATTTTAGCCTCTTTACCAAGGTCCTAACCAAAAACCCATTGACATTTAAGTAAGAAGGCGTAACAAATATATAAAGGAAACATATTAAAAAAACATAAATTAAATATAAAACGACAGTTTGAAAATAAGGCATATTCGATTGGTATGACTAATCTAACGACCTTTTTATTAGACTTTGACTCTTTTGATAATCTTTTATTAAAATATGTTTTAATAATGTAGTTGTAAGTGATATTTGAATAAGCAAGATCAGTTTTGTATTTACGCAATTTTGTTTAAATAGACATGAAGGCTATTGTTGTATTAAAAACGAATTTGATTGCTCTATGATAGTAAGTGCCATTTAAATACTACATAAACGTATTAAAGATAATTTTAGCCGACAATTTTAACCGACTTTTACGCGTTTAGATAGTTCTAACTAATTAAATATTTTAAAGTAAATTTATTCAAATGTTCTAATGATGTCTAAATGAAATTATTTTGTTTTGTAATTTTTGCTATTATGTAAAAACATCATATGTATAGTGTATACGTATAAATATTCCCGGTTAACAAAAGCAGAAGTGACGAAATGGCCCGGTCCAACGGCAAATCGATAGATCCAAAAAACGCTGATCAGACGATATCATAGCTGCAGTGAACAAACAATGGATGGAAGTATCGAAAAACAAAATTGAATAGCAAAAGCTGGAGGAGGCCTAAAAGCTCAACCAAATACTGAACTTTTTATAGGCTTATAATAAAGGCTTAATAATAATAATCAAGCGCAGTTAAGTTTAACAGTTTAAACCGATAAGAGACAATAGCCAGCCCACACTTGGACGGATAAAAACGCTTTATCACAATATTGTATATTTTCGCGTGAATATATGTAGTATATATACTTCATACAAGATTTTGAAAAGTCTGCAGCAAGGGGCTTATAGGCCAATGGCAAAGGATGCAATCAGATATGTGCAGAATGCGTGAAGAGCCTTGCCGGACGGCCGGTTCAAATGTCAGTTAGCTACTAAGTGAACTGACTTGTTTTTAAATTAAAATTTACTTACTGGTTAGCAAAGTATTTGAATATCAGCAATTAATTATTATTTGAGTGGATAGATAAATGTTGGTACTAACTATTCGTACTCAGAAGTTACCCCGGCTGTACACCAATGATTCTTTCTATGTGCAATTTATTTGTTACAGTAAAAGAAAACATCGCGATCCCAAGACCCACAACGATGTGTTTCAGGCACAAACACAGAAGACCAAAGGCGATACAAGACCTGTTTGGTGGTCTCATAAAGGGTTGTAGTGCCATTGGATTAATATTATTTTTTTATGGTGGGTAATAGGGCAGGAGGCTCACCTGATGTTAAGTGATACCGCCGCTCAACTACACCCAATGACACGGGGGTGGCGAGTACGTTGCCTGCCTTTAAAGAATTGATACGCTCTTTTTTTGAAGGACCCTAAGTGGAATTGGTTGGGAAATACTTCAGTGGGCAGCTGGTTCATAGTGCGCGGCAGAAACTGCCTTAAAAACGTTCAATTTTTGATCGACGGACGTCGGGTAGTATTTCGTATTCTGCCTCGACGTCCGATTATGAAACACAGCTGCAGGTCTTCCGAACAACTCCTTTGAACACTCTTTGTGGTAAATGCGATAGAAGATGCAAAAAGACCCCACATCTCTACGCAATGCCAAGGGATCAAGCCGCTCGCTCTTATTATTAGTACAGTTAATACAATTCGTAATATAGGTAGCCAAAATATTTAATGAAATTAGATTAAAATTGTAACTTGCGAAATATAGTTATGGAGTTTATTAGAAAAGGAATTAAATTTATTAACGTTAACGACCTTAAGGTCCAAGAATAAAAAGGATTAATGATATATCAATAGAGGATGTGATGGCATTATGTGTTATATATTGAACGCAAATCATTTCTAAAGCGCATCTATATAACCAAAGAATACACACTTATATTATATACCTTTTAATTTATGCAGTTTGAATGTTTATATAGATTATAGAACTAGAAATCTAATTTGCACTTAGCCACAAAAGATAACTCGAAAAATTATCATCTGTGCCTATAATGACACTTCCCTATTCGTTAATTGTGACATTTGACATTCATTTTTAATTCATCATTAATGGCCATTAATTCATGGTATGATGATGTTCAAACAGGATGTCGGACATTAAATTTAATTAAAATATATATATTTGAATATAGATATGTATACGTAACTATGCGAAAAAATTATATGGTGATCACTCTTCCAATATGTGCTATTTAGTAATCATTTATTATTTTTTTATTTAAATTAAGTAATTTCTGTGATATGGTGTTATTGTTTTATTTTAGTTGTGATTACATATTTTTTAATAACCCTGATAAATCTTTAAGCTTTTCTAATAAATTTTTATAGACAGAAATATCAACAAGGCGCTATATCAGTCCTTAACATTTTGATAATTTAAAAACGTTTGTACATAAATGAGTTTTATTTTTCTTTAGCAATTGTGTTTTGATTCTTGTGAATTATATCTCCACCATATTTACGTAAATAAGACTATTCTACTGTATTTATACCGCTATAATGGTATGTGACAAGGCAACAAAAGTGCCTTAACAGTAGTGTATGTAGATTTTCGAAAACTAAATTTGTATGAAAATGATAGTTCGTTCCGACAAATTTTAACAAATTTTAGTTTAATGTTAAATGTTGGGCCACTAATAAATATATATATAGCTTACGATAGCTTGGCTCCAAATCAGCATCAAGCGAATGGCTGGAATACTTTTTACTCCTACCTGAAACAATAAAACACAACCTTGAGACAAATGCTATATTACCAAATTTGACTTCTTCAAGTATAAATAGATATTGGATACATTTAACTCAAAAGACACGCAATATATTTAAAACTTAGTAAGATATTCGTTATTAAAACTTTATACACTGAATATTTATGCTTTATTTTATTTTATTATACATGTTTACTTTGTAAAAACATAATGTTATTTTTTCATAATAATTTTATATCCCTTGTTGAAGTAAATCTCCTCATTTGATCGTAATTAAATCCAGTACAGAGGAACGTATTTCAAGTACAATGAGTCAGAATAATTCAATAGTCCAGTGAGCTGAAATCTAAGATTACAACGATCCGGCGGGAAATCATTCTATATTCTTGCCATAGATTATAGAACTAGGACTTTCAATCTACAGATAAGCTTTTAATATCTATATCTTTCAGTTAAAATAGAGGTTTAAGATGACATGGTTTTGCCTTTGACTTCCTGTATTTTGGACAGATTGTTTGCGACCTTTTCAAAAATATATGTTAGGCACAAACACCTAATAAGAAAATATTTCATTAATAACAATGTATTTAAAGAAACTCAGAATTAAATTATTTAGTATTGAAATTAGTCATTAACACATGTCAATGTGTAATCTATATTGTCTATTTTGTAATTGCTAGAATATTCTACATTATACAAAAACAGAATAATAAATGCATCGAACACAGAAATATTTAAATAATTAAACATTTGACGACATTTTTATTGAAATGTTGATGAGATTTTGCTGATCTATTTAAGCAGCAGATGGCAAAAACTTGACGCGCGTTTTCAAATCGCCGACTAGAAATTGTGGTATTTTCATACAACTGTTCACATGAGCGCGTTAACGCGCAACGCGGCGCCAGAGAAAAAGTCTCAGCCAGGGATCGCACGTTGACGCGCTTTGAATTAATGTAATGTCCGTTTGCTGTTCAGATGAGCGCGCGCTTTCATCGCGACGCAGTAATTTTGTTAATTCGAATTATATTTTGTTCCGCATTTAAAATGAGTGAAATTGAGATACTGACATCGACTTACTAATCGATGAGTAGAAAAAAGGCAGCAAGTTGGAATATAGCAAATGTATAAAAAAATAATATAATTTGTATTTTTTTCAAAATTGGATGAACCCAATTGACGTTTTCTATTTCTATAAATTTCTTTATAATATAACCACAAAATAATAGCCTCTTCCACGTCCATTTTCTACGTTCTACCGAACTAGACTGACGGCACTCGCAACGCGTTAGCGCTCATCATCTGAAGCCTTCAATTTTGAGCGCGTTGAGCGCGTTACCGGGTTAATGTGAAATAGCCTTTAAGCGTAAAATCATAAATCACTATTAAACCATTGACATTTAAACTTTTAAAAAACGAATAGGCCATTCCGATTTATGGCAACAATATTATTATGTCAAGGTCGAAGGAAATCGAGATGGCAATTTGACGTTATAGGATATCTGTGGTAATTATAAATATAATATAGCTTTTCTATGATTTATGGAGTAACATTGTAATTTGCATATTAATTATTATTCTAATTGGTTAAGCTAATGGCTTTATAGGTCAAAGTTAAATAGTTTAACGAAAAGGTTAATTTGTCGCATTAATATCTTAAATGATCTTGTTTCCCTGAATTCGATTCTCAGAGTACTTAACAATATGGTTTCAATAAAGCAAACATCTGTAATCTTTTCTATAGTCTAGTCCTCTATAATCGGACCTCTATTTGGGTAATTATAAAGTTTACATATTTTTCTATACTTTTATTGTTTTTGTAACTGGTAAATTACCCACGTAACATCGCACTTAAATTTACGCACCTGATAGGAATAATGCACTATAATCTCTATATATGTATATAAAATTCTCGTGTCACATTGTTCGTTCCCATACTCCTCCGAAAGGGCATACTCAGAAAGTCTGAGAATCGGCTACTATCTATTTTTCAAACCCCTAAGTGATAAGTTCTACTTCTACCCCAATTTTTTTTTTTTTTTTTTAATACACCATACAAAATACATACAAACCCCTTATTTACACCCCTCTACGATCAACCCGTATTTTTTATTATTGTAAATAGTTATTTTTATTGAACTAAAAAAATGTTTCCTAGCAATATTATACAAAGCAAAACAACGTTTGCCGGGTCAGCTAGTATATTTGTATAAGGTTATACTAGCTACCTATATTAAGACAGATAAGCTCTGAGATAATAGATATAATAACTATAGATAATCTGTTCGGTTAAACTGTATATAATTATGAGGTGCATTGAACAGTAGTTATTTTGTAGAAGCCTTGGAGGTCCCTTTTATAAAGTAGATAAACAAAACCAGTTAGTTTGTCGCTTCTGCTATTCTCATTTGTTTACGTATGAACGAAATTAACCTTGAGTAGGACAGTGGCCCCTTTGACTTGTGGTCGTAAGGATTCTTTAAATATAAAGAATGGTTTTCTTACCAACAAAGAAAGATCATATAAAAGAAATTCTCTATCGTGTAGGTATCCAGCGATAAGCGGTTCAAATAATAGTCGATCAGTCACTTTCCGAGCTGCTTGATCCTTTGGCGTTGCGTAGACATATGGGATCTCTCCGCATCTTCTAATGCATTTACCATAGTCGGTGTTCACAACTATGCGTTTTTTAGGCAGTTTGCCGCCCACCACCACTATGTGGTACCCACTGAAGTATTACCGAACTGATTCGACTGGGTCCTTCAAGAAAAGAACGTACCAATTCTTAAAAGGCCGGCAACGCACTCGCAAGCTCTGTGGTATTGAGAGTGTCGATGGGCGCATTTCACGTAAGGTGAGCCTACCCGTTTGGCTATTGTTCTATTTAGGGTTGTAAACACGTGTGCTAAATTCTGTTGCCATAAGTTCTGTTACAAATGAAAATGCATTTTTTTAAATGAAGTTATGTAATTTCATTATAATTTATACCAACAATAATATATAAATATAAATATGTAGATTTATTAAAGAATCAGCAAAAAAATTAAAAATATTATATTCGAAATGGCCTTTGGCTTTTACACAGGCCTTTAATCTGTTTGGCCTACGAATCTATGAATTTACGCACTGTTTCCAAGGGAAATTTATTCATTATAAGTAGGAGAGCTTTTCATGACTGGCCTTGCGATTCCTTTACCGTTTGGAAAAGAGTTCATAAATGCATAGTCGGTGTTCGCAGTGAGGTGGTGAGGAGTCACATTTGTATTTAAGGGTTGCATTGAACTTTTTTGTAGTGATCACCAAATACTTACATACAATACCCTTAACACAATGCAATATATATTAAGAAGGAAATAAGTCCATGAACAGAGATTTAAAAAATCTTACATAAGCTGTGCCTAAAACATCATAGTAAATATTACAAACTATTGACCGTAGAGTAATAAAACGCCTTAATTAATGTCATGGATTTTTTATATTTATTTTTGTTTTATTTGTTAGGGCCGGCTGTACCATCCGATATAGACCTAGTTACCCAGGAACAAACTTTGGTTCCTTGCTTCATAAAAACCACTGCAGTAAATTACAAAAGATTTTGTAGTTTACCACTTCATACAGATTACAGTTTTTTTTAGTATAGCTTATATTTTTTACAATTCCTTAAATATTAAGTGATAATGAAACTGGAGGATGAAGCGTATCAGTCTTTTGCTTAGCTAATTATCGTATGTTTTTTTTTGTCGAAATTGATCTACGTAGCTACTAAACGACGGAGGTAGTTACAGAAATCGTGTGGATTTTGAAATTATTCGTGTCTGTCCTAATGTATGCTGATTGCAGACAAATGTTTACCGCGAAGTGGCAATTATTGTTCTAAGTACGCAATAATACGCAATCTAGAGAACTCATCACACAGTATTTGCTCAAATGATTTGGACCGTGATAAATATTAATATGCAAATAGTTTAATTGCGTTTCTGACTATGACGTTTGACGCAGAATCTGTATTTAAGTGACGTAATTCTTTTTCTGTTCCGACAGATATAGAGGAAAAGGGAGAAAATCCTGGTATAATTACCTTCAGCATAAATTGAGTCTATTTGCTCACTCTCCACGCTTTGCAACGCATCAATGTCGACAAATTCAGGTCCTTCTTCAATCGCAGGTTCTTCTTCATTATGTTCATTCAAATCATCATTCTCTACCCATGTTTCGTTCTCGGCATGTCTCACTCGATCACTCGTTGATTGTCGTATTGTTCGCTCTTCCGGCTTCTTTCCCGGAAGGATGTCGAATATCGAAGGTGCTCTGTAGTTATTGCTCGCGAGGCCAAGTTTCTTCTGTATGAATGCCTCTAGGATCTGCTCTGTGATTTTGTTCTGCCTCGCCAATTCTTGGATATCTGCGGAGAAAGGAGAATGTCAGATAAAAATGACCGCGTGAATCAATTGATAGGAAAAAGAATTTTGAACATCGTCGTCATTTTTATCCAGTTCTCCCTTCTCTTTGGGATACACAATCCTCTACATTTGCTAGCCAAATGGATTATAAAAGAATTTGTGTTTCTGTGTTCCGAAAACTCTTTGTTAGGCCCTTTAGGAGACCCACCAGTAACAGTTGGGTACAGACATAGTTATATATCTGTTTCACGGATGTTTCTTTTGCTTTATTTTCTATACGCAATAGCATTGTGTAAAGAATGTAGGTGATCTAAAAGTGAAACGTTTAGAAAACTGGAATTATTCTTTTTAGTTAGTAGTAGTAGAAGAGATGGTAGCCTAGCCCAACATTATAGGCGACTATAGGCCCATCGACTATGTAAACTGAGGCACCTTAGCGCATGGGCCTAGGTCGGTGAAGGAGGCTGAGCCGGCCTAGAGGTCGGATACCAGTAGGTTGGCTTAGATACGATACGCTGGATCGACAGAGTGGAGGAAGACCTTCTGCAGCTGAAAGCCAGGACGGGAGCACTGGAAGATTCTAATTTCGGAGACTAAGACACGTTTTGGGTCGCAGAGCCAGCGGAATGAGTGAGAGAGTGAATAAGGTGACGTCTTGATTAAAGTTAGGCTCGACTTCTTCAGTTGTTTTCTTGAAGTGCTTGTTGCAGTGAAAATTTAACAATGTAAATTTGAATTTATTGGTACATTTGCCAATTGTAAATAGTAATAAAAGAAGAAGACTTAAAGCTTCATACGAATCGTATAAAGGACGTTAAAATTAATATACCATACATATAAGAACAATAGAATTATCAGTTAAATCTGTGTCAGGAAGTTGTGTATCTACTAAAGGAAGCTAACTGCAATGTAGATCGCTTTGTTCTCAATCCTTGAACAAGAATTGGAATTTGGTTTAATTACTATTTGTTTTGAGTAAATATGACTTTAATTAGACAATTCATGGACAAACATGGCAACAATGTATGGTATGGTCTTTGAAAAATGAAGTAGATAAGAATTTTGATATATCCTCATGTATATGTACACTTCTTGCTATTTTGTTTACTATTGTCGTAATAGCGATTGATCTACTATTCGATACAGTTTGGATTAAGGAATAGCGGAGATATTTCTGCTGTGGATTTGACATGTATGTAGGCCTGCTGATACACTTAAAATGCTAGGTTTTGATAACCACTTTATGTTAAAGACAAAAACGTTAATTAAAAATACTATTATAGTATTAATACATTAATACATTTTTTTAAACAAGCTTTCAACTTTTATTAAATTTTATTTCTAACTTTTTTTAGTATTTTTTTATTTTAGCTTTGTAATTGTACAAGTCTCCAATGTTCTCTGTTTTTTTTTTTTTAAATTTAGTTCTGCTTTTTTGCACTTTATCCTTAGTATTTATTTTATCCTTACTAGGGTTGCGTAGGGGATCGCTTGTTAGAGAAAAGGCCGACCGATCCTTAATTTATGTTATTTGAATAATTTGTAAAAATATGCAATACGTACTGTTCCGTAATAAAATACATAACGTATTTAACGTAGAGTGTAACGTAATAAGTAATCAACGTAATTACGGTAACATCAGTTAAACATTTTATTTCAATTATGTAAGTCATTAAATTATTAATAAGTTCAGGGGCAAATGACCTTGGAAATCGAGTTCATGTCTAACTAATAATAATATTAATTAACCTAGTTTTTGATTGTTAAGATTTGTTATATCTTTGATCTGCACGATCTCCGTTAGTACAATTGAAGCTTACAGTTTAATGAAAGCTAAGCCGCACAAAAGATGAAACACCTCATAAAAGACGGCGTAACACTAACAAAAAAGTTAAAGTGGAAATAGCCCGTCACATTGTCCGCATTTGTGATGGCAGATGGGTCAACAAGACCCTTACTTCGAATGGCCCAGTGGGAAAAATTAAGAGAGGACCAGAAACTTGGGAACATAGAATAAAAGGGAGAGCGAGGTATAGAGACAAGTGGACAAATTTGGAGGAAGCCTAAAGGCCTGAAGTCCGTCGGAGGTCGACTAATAGTGTAACCCACCAGACCAGATGCTGGACATCCCTGTGTTGTGGGTGACCAGAAATCTTTTCCTGGTTCATATATACGTGGAACAATACAAAACGTTTAATGACTACTGTTTAAAACAATTAATTATTTTTATATCAATTAAATGTACACCTAATGTGGTAGGGTAAAGTTTTAAGGTTTAAAAAAAAAAACCTTTTTTTGTTAAAAAAATTTTTAAGGTTTTTTTTTTTTTAAAAAAAAAAAAATTTTTTAAAAAAAAAGGGTTTTTTTATTATAAAAAAAGGAAAAAAAATAATTTTTTTGTCCAACCAGGCCCAAAAAAAAAACCCCTCCTTATATTTAAATTTTTTTTTTTTTTAAAAAAATCCCAAAGAAAATTAAAAAATTTTAAAAAAAAAAATTTTTATAAAAAAAAAAAAAAAAAAAAAATTTTTTTTATTTTTTTTTATTTTTTTATTTTTTTTTTTTTTTTTTTTTTTTTTTTTATTTTTAAAAAATTTTTTTTTTATAATTTTTGGTTTATAAAAGGGGGGGGGGGGTTTTTTTTTTTTTTTTTTTTTCCCTTTTTTTTCTTTTGTTTTGGGGGGGGGGTTTTATTTTATATTTTTTTTTTTTTTTTTTTTTTGTTTTTTTTGGGTTTTTTTTTTTTTTTTTTTTTTTGTTTTGTTTTTGGTGGGTAAAAAAAAATTAAAACCAATTTTAAAGTTGGCTGGCAGAATTATAGGTACACTGCCAAAGGGACCTAAGTTTTTCAATTTATTTTAAATTTCTATATTTAATTTTTTTAATTATTATTATTATTATTACTATGTTGGTTAAGAATATTTGTGATGAAATAAATATAAATATTAGACTTTAAAACTAAGCAAGATTAATATATATGTAAAATAAAGATACTATAAAAATATGATATTATAATATATCTCACCCAGTTACACCAGAATCTGTAGCAAGAATTCTGTGGAACGAAAGTCCAGAGATTTAGCAGGCTTTTAACAACTTTGATGAGTTTGTATAGCGAAAGTTTGAAAATCTCCGATATACTACAATATCGATTCGAAGTTTTAAGAAATTGATTAACGCAGTATCAAGCTCTGATAGCAACATTTATATCTGGACAATATTTGTACTCAACAGCGGTTTTAAACGTTTTTATAATGCCAAAGTAAAGACATTCAATATGTAATTACTGATTGTACGCGATTCGTCAAGTTCACGAAAACTATCACGTTTATAGTAAGGCCAACTTATAAAATTAAATTTTAGAAATCTATTTTGAACAGCTCTTTCGCTCTCTCTTTAGACGAATTCCACAGAGCATAGTAATAGCTCTATAGCAACTCAAATTTGTAAGAGCGAAGATTCACAATTATAAATTTCAAGGTTTTCGATAAGTATATGAAATAAAATACATACGAACATACTGGCATTTGTCACTATCACTAGAAGTAGCAGATTACATACTCTCAAACACGGAATCTTACGTTTTAATTGAATCAAAATTGTATATTTAATTTGTTGTAATTATGTAATTAGCACTTGCTGTTTCGACAACTATTTACCAAGCGTGTAAAAAAATCTGCATAAATCCTTCATTACGTTTTACACATATAAATTATATCATAATAAATATAAGACGAGAAAAAACCTATTCATATTTTTATTAGTGTTCTCTATTGGAGCTTCCATTCTATATATTCAAAGAATACTTGAGACTTGAAGATTAAAAGGAAAGGAATTTCTTGCCCGTCTTTGCTTTGAGATGTGGCAGTAAATGTAAATTTAGACAAAACAGTGGCTTCACCTTTTAGGTGATCAGCCTTCTGTGCCTGATACAGGCCTTCAACTTTTTTGGGTTATGCCATAGCATGCGTGTTTTCTCACGATGTTCGCCTTCACCCTACAAGTGTAAAGGCCGTTAGTGCACAGCCGGGGATCGAACCGACCTCAGGGATAAAATCTGAAGCCACTAGACCAACAATGCCCTTTTTTCTAAAAAAGCTATTAAAGCATTGCTGTTTAATAATTAACAAGAACTAACTAAAGATTGCGCGTGTTCATACTTTTAATTTTGATATAAAAATCTTCTACTTCTAACTGTTAAAAGTAAAACTAAATTTGTGTTGTTGAAGAATTAGGACGGCATAAAGAAAATTCAATAAAAATGCAATATCAAGAAATGGCTACCTTTTTAAGAGCCAAAAATGCAAATTGCATAACGCATAACAATAATGTTTAACAAATGTGCGCACAACACGTATCGTCTTCCCAAAACTGCGAATGAAGAAACATTATTTATTGACGTGTTGTTAAATAAATTGTATTAAATTCATGTATCGTAAATTAAGAAAAAAAACATACACCACATTTCAACATATTTGACTCTCACATATAACGTAATGGACGATTTGACCGTTGATTACCTACTGGAATTTTAAGCGCTTTGCATACCATATTTATTTTTAGTATAGAATATTGTGTATTGTTTTTTTTCTGTTTGGCTATAAATGGCGATTTTAATTTTAAAAAAGAAACGTGCAATTTCACGTAGAAGTGACCCGAAAAATTTTGGTCTCAAGATAATGAGAGGAATGTAATTTTAATTTTAAGTCTAATATCAATTCATAAAAACTACAATGTTAAAAAAAGTTTTATAATTAATAATATAAACTTTAAATCATTGTAATGCTTCCTATATCATTTTCTACTACGTTAAATCACAACGATGATAAAGAAGTTTTCACTTCAAAAATTGTGTGTCCCCTAAATGCTGTAGCAGAACTGAACTTGAATAACATATTCGCATGTACAATCAAAGAGAGTTTTTATATATGGTAATTCGGGAAGTAGGACTAGGACTTGGTCGTAAGCTCACGGACCGACACGAACCCCACACTCCCCGCGTCACGGGGATTTTTTTATTAAGAAGTTTGTCTGTAAATTGATTTCGAACCAATAAAAGTAGCGTAGAGATATTGGGTGTTTCAGCTATATCGCATTTATCACGAAGAGTATTCAGAGGAGTTGTTCGGATTAATACCTGCATCTGAGTTTTATTATTGGACGTCACGGCAGAATACGAAATACCACCCGTATCACCTCGACGTCCGTCGTTCCACAATTGAGCGTATATTGTGTCGTATATTGATCGTATGTGGAACCAGCTGCCATTTCTGAGGTTGTACATTTGAATGCCGTTAGTTACTCGTTAGAAACTCCAATGGAGTTTCTGTGTACGCATTTAAAACTCTCTCATACGGTGAAGAAAACAATCGTGAGGAAACCGGCCTTAGATCCAAAAAGTGTGTCAGGCACCATGAACTGCCTATTAGAAAAAACTAATAATTACGTAACAAATACATACATCTGAGGCCCAGACCTAGAAGGTTGTAGCGCCATCGTTTTTTTTGACGTGACAACGTCTTATAATTCCATAGAGCCGGCTGCACGCACGAAAAAACATGTCTCATGCAGCGTTACCTCGCGGCGCGTTACCTCTGATGCGTTCCATTTAAAGCTTGAAGTGCAAGCGAGAGCGCGGAACAAGCGACAAAGAGGCACAATCGGCCTCCGCGTTCGACATCTGTCTCTCTCCTTGCATGCGTCCACGTGGACAGCTGCTATACAATAATACATTTACATGTTTTCGTCAAGTATGAAGTGCAGTGAAAAGTTAATGTGGTGTCAATTGTTTATAGCAACGATAATTGTATTTATGCGTACAAATAAATGTAACTTGATCAATTCAATTGTGCTTTCCATTTACCTCCTTCTCTATATCCATACAAAATATCTATCAAACAAATAAAATTAAAATTATTTTCTTATGACGTTGTCACGTTCAACTATCGTCAGTAAACCGACTTTACAGACGACCGATTTTTTTAATGTTATTTGATACCTTTTCAATAATAGCCACTGGGATAAATCAGTTAAATAAGAATATTATAAAAATACTAGCGGCCTCTGCAAACGTTGTTTTATTTTATTGATAAGGAACAATAATATGTATGTACATGTACATTGTTATATAGGACCTACGCGACAATTTGTGGAGAAATGTGAACGACATAACAAGTGAAACCTAACAACTTAGGTTTTTTTTATAACTTTAATGTTTCATTTGTTTTAAATTAATTTTGGCAAATAGGCTGGAACAATTGTTTATAGGTGACCATTTGTCTATTAATTATAAGATATAAGAGTTGCTTTTTGACATTTTAAACACCGCTATAATCAACGTTAAATAACCCATAAATAATTAAATTGTTTTTGATGTAAGATAAAAATGGACAGTTACAAAATAACAATAATTAAACTTGAACTTTATCTATCGCTTAGACTTCTCGCAACATTGTATGTCATCACAATGATGTTGGATGATATTTATTTGTTCCATATTTAAAACAGGTTGTAAAGGTTCAATACTGGCAATACTGAAAATTGAAATTATAGCCTATGGACATAGAGTCTAGACTCTACATTTGTGGTCTTTGGTCAATTGAATCGATGAACGCAAGCTTTGTGTCAAGGACCTTTCAATTTTTACTCTATGCAATCTGTAGCTATAGGAAAACCAGTCAATTAAAAACGAAGAAAATGTTGATCGTAAAAAGTGTTCAAAATTCAAATTTTCAAACGTAAGGTTAGCTTAAACAATCGCACTTACGCATGCCATCCCAAGGATAACCAAATCGCAAAATATTTATCACGTTTACTTGACCTCGATACAATGTCAATGCGCATTGCCACCTTATGCAACCACGCCGAAGTGAAACCAATACAATGAGTAGTAAACATAGACGCTGACGTTTTCTTTCATCTCTCCAAGTATTAAAAGAAACTACCGTATTGCTTTAAAATTCGTACTTAAAAATATTTATTTAGAATCCGCTTTATAGCATATTGATAATTAAAAATAACGGGTAACAACCATGCCTCCTGCTGATAGAGGACAAGTCTTTGTTTTTAATTTATGTTATTATTATTATTAATTACTTATGATGTCATGTGGAACATGGTGTAATGGTTGCAGCTCCTTACAAACGTTGTGTAAAAAAAAACATGGCGATTAAAAAGAGTGGCGGAGAGTTTATTGCCAGTTCTTCTCTTCCGTTCTACGCCCTTGATTTGAGAACTGGCAGTAAATGTAAAATTAGAAGCATTAATATGTATTTCTTTAATGACGAATCACAAGTGTACATTGTGTTACCTACGTGAATAAATGATTTTTCGAATTTGAATTTTGAACCAATTCTCCATTGTAACTCTTTAGGAGAAGATTTCTAAGAACCCTTTCGTCTGATACCATTCTGTATGTGGACATTTAAATAATGTAACTGTTAATATTTCTAAGCTGTGGTTTAGGCTCAAGATTAGGGAAGAGATTGTTCAATTTAAATTAAGAATAACAGAAGTAGCTTAAATAACGTATATTTTTAAATAAAGTATTAGAAAACGCATACTAAAGTATTGGAACTTTAAATTTGTTATACCATAGATAAATACCTAGGTACCGTTCAAGTATTACGTAAGCAGATTTACTGAAATTAATCCCCCCCCTGCTCTTGTCAGCAAAAGTAAGTAAAGCTCTCAAAAATAATAGATCATAACGTATTATTTTTTTGTAGGAATCCTCGAAAATGCATTTGTTTTCAAGCAAATAATAAAATCAAAGACCCCCCCGCCCGCTTATAGTGCCTACGTAATACTTGAACGGCCCCAGTCAGTTATACTATAAAACTAGCTGACCCGGCAAACGTTGTTTTGCCATCTATATTATTTCTAGGAAATATTTTTTAGTTCAATAGAAATAACTATCTACTATAATAAAAAATATTCGTTGATCGTAGTGGGGTGAAAATTAAGGGTTGAATGTAATGTTTTAAGGCCACATAATAAAATAATAAAAATGTTATCCGAAAACACTTAAGCGTTTGAAGGATACATAGTAGCCGAGTAGACTTACTGAATATGCATAAAAAATTTATAAAAATCGGTCGCGCCGTTTCGGAGGAGTATGGGAACGAACATTGTGACACGAGAATTTTATGTATTAGATGTTGAATGAAGATTACTGCCGTGTTTGTTGCTATGGTAACGATGTTATCGTCGTATTACCCGTAACCGTGGTAACAATACTATTAGTCCACTAATTGTAATAGGGCCAACATTCTATGCATGTAAGAACTATCAAATGTCAGAGCATCGTAATTAAATGTACCTCTATAACATTACATGTGATCAACAGTATTGTCAATCTAATTGGCACCAATCTACCCGCACCTTGGCCCACATTTCTCTAAGACATCCTAATTTATGTCACCTTGCGGTTTGTCGTATGTTTATTCATTGATGTATACCATACCTTTCTAAAAGCCTTCTTCGTTCCTTTCTTCTATTTCAAATATATTAAAATATTTTGGGCCCTTCCAAACAGTAGCGTAACAATAGGGTGGCAGGGCTGGCAAAATGCCACGGGCCCCGGACCCAAGAGGGCTCCTGCCCAAGTTATATGTTCTATGGATGAATGTGAAGTCTCCAATACGCATTGGGCCAGCCGGGGGACTACAGGCCATTCCCTCCCGCCTAAGAGAGGAGGCCTATGGCCATTAGTGGGACATATACAATGTGTAATTGAGTACGCTGAAAATCTCGAAATTTATTAGAATTAAACTGAGTACAACGTGACGATTTTTACTGATAGGGCCTCATGAAAAGAATTTGCCACGGGCCCCAGATGGTATAGTTACGCCACTGCTTCCAAATATGTAAATCTAAATTAAATATTGTCTCGTTTTATATGTACTCATTTCTCTAAATGGAATTATAAGATCTATTATTATTATAAAGATAAACTGCAAAACCGCGAATTTCGTTTCTCCGTAATGTGATTTTACTTTGCCTGCCGTACATACCAACATGGATCATCTTGCTATGCTACCCCAGAGACTGTTCGGTTTTCCAGAATAAAAACTTTTTAGGTTGTTCTGTGAATTTTTCTCTATATAAACCTCAGAGTTCAAGTATACTTTAAACAAATAAAAGATAGGGGTAGATCGTAGGGGGGTGTTTATGTTGTATCATAAAATAAAAATTAAGAAATTTGTCTAAAAAACAAAATTTGGAGTGGACCACCCTTAACATTCAGAGGTTTGAAAGATAGATAGTAGCCGATTCTCAGACCTACTGAATATGCATAAAAAAATTCATAAGAATCGGTTGCGAGAGTTTTTTATATTAGAAGATTAACATTTATTATTGATGTCTATGGTACCAGACATAAGAAAAAAATCTTTATTTAAGTCATTATAATATTATCCACAGATAATCAAACTTAAAAAACATAGAGTGCAAAACAGGATTACATCTTTTTATTTTGTGTTGCCAGATATAAATAATGAACTTCTAACGAGGAATATAGAAGTTTTTAAACGCGAGTAAATCCTTGAAGCCCTAAAGGAAGACAAGCTGTTCACCTTTTGCTTTCAACTGTCGATGCCAAACCTGAATTAAATTGTGTTTTCTATTAAATACATGGATTTCAAAAATAATGCTACATCAGAAATAAACTATAAATCTAAGGCATTTTATCACAATATACTGCATGTATGAAGGAATCTTAGGGAAACTATCATCAGTAGTAGTAGTAGTACACACTTTCCGCACTTTGACGCATTTGGTTCGTTGTACGTAAAATCCTGGCAAATTAAACCGGCCTAGCTTCTAGCTCAAGCTCAGAAATTTTCTGGGCATCTATTACGCTTATACCTTTAGTTATGTAAGCTTGTGTCTCTTATTAACTATTATCAGACGAAAATACACTTTATTATAATCTATTTAACGTTTATGTCTTGCAACACTAACTTCTGGTACGCGCGTGCAACGTAAATAATTGAAAAAGCCCGTTTTAAACCCGCTTTACTGTAATATAAACTATTTGAATTTTGGTTAAAATTAGTATATAATTTGCATGCGTTAGTAATCTGAAATTTGTGTGACCTTATTCGCTAGACTCATTTTAATTACCTGTAATAAAAATAATAATTCGAAAAACGGCTCAGATGTGACCTATTAACATAAATATCGATATGGTTCCTGTTTCTGATTTATGGTCTATAGAAAACATGCCTAATTGCTTTTTCAAGCTGAAATATAATAAATAACTGGAAATAGAGCATAGTTAGACTAAATTAGCAATTAGTCTGAACGAGAATTATGTCCATCCAAGCATTTTGATGAGCTGACCGATATTATTTACAAAAAAACGAATTAATAGAAGGCCGTGACATATTATGTCAGATGATCTTGATGGAAATTAATAAATTACGCACTTTTATAATTCTAAATTATTGACTCATCAATAATTTAAATTGAAACAGATTTACGACTCGAGGCAAATGTAAATTATTATGTATTAACAATACAATGATTTTATAATAATTACACATACTTTTGATGAAGTTTAGATTTATTAATGTGTACCTATTATTAAGAAACATTTAAATCTGTTTGTACCTAAAGACGCCAGATAAATAAGGAATAAGAAAGTTACTCTATAATAAACAAAACTTAAAAATGTAAGTAACAACCTCCTTGTCTTTTTAGTATTTGTTATATGAAAAAAAAAATTATGTCAAAAATTACAGTGACAAAATATATTTTTAAAAGACTTTGTGAGTGTCGTTGTACTTTCAAACGAAACATAATTTGCACATATGAATAGGTCTACTTCTTGTAGTGATATCTCTTTAGATAGTTTAGAAGACAATTTTAAAAATAAATCGATACATAAGGAGAAATCGTATGAGGAGCAGGTGGAAACAATACTTGTCCCTTTTTATGAAAATGACGTCCTAATAAGAGTGCCCAAGTTGTCAAAAGAAAGGAAATCCAATCAGAAAAACCGAGATAGGAAAAACAGCAAATTTAAAAAAGAACCCGAACCTCAGAGCTATTTAATCAACAAAAACATACAAAACAATAAAAAATGCAGTTACTTAGATATATTTCGCAAGCAATTCGTCCCAAATTCACTCGGCAAAAAGAAACAGACTGAAGAAATACGTTCTATATCGCCTCAAGTTGGTGACACTGAAACCGGAAGCCTGGATGACGAAGGAAATAATAACGAATCAGAATTTTATAACACAGAGGCATACAATGATGTTTATTATGATCAACTTATCAACCAAGATATGGAATATTATTTACATCAGTCTTTAGAAGAACTGCAGCTTTCTCAAGATCTAGAAATCAAGTTGGAAGATGATGATAATAATCTTAAAAGCGTATCTGAAGTGACGCAACCACGGCGAGAACGAGGACGAGTTCAGCCTCTGCACAACATGAAACTTGGTGGTTTGGGCCCAGATACGGAAAACATCAGACCAAGATTAGAAAGAGCTAGAAGTTTACAACGATACTCAGAAAAAGTAAGAATGGCAAACCGTCTTAGAATTTATAAAAAAGCGGTTGAAGAGGATAAAGAGACCCAACGACAAGCTTCGGCTAAAAATTCTCAATCTGCGAGAAATAGAAGTGCAGAAGAGAAAAACACTTACCTGATAAATAAAAATATGAAAGAAAAATCGTCGTTAATAAAAAAGATTTACCACGGCAAGTCTAAATCGGCAACTGTGCAAAACTCAAAAACAAGGGAAAACAGACCACCAAACGAAACAAATGATAAACGGGAACAAATACCAAAAAAATCGGCAAAGAATGTGCATATTAAAAAAAATGAAAATTGTAGTGGAAAGGTACGAATTAAAAGTATTAAAATAGACAAAGGTACGGCCACTGATGATAAACAACATCGAAACGAAAAGACGAGGCCCATGGAAATTAATTTCCTTGTTAATATAGATGCGGGATTAAGACCATCTACCGCTTTGCGAAATTTGGAAGAAAAACATAGACAATATCAAGAGAAAGTAAAAACGTTTAGTACGGATTATAGAAACGATTAATTACAAAGCTCTTTTACATTTGTAATGGTATTTTAAAATATACTCTTTAATATGTTTAATATGTGTGTTACTTAGAGATATTTAAAAATTGGTGATTAGTAGATTCGGGTACATCTACTTTGTACTTTAACTAATACCGTACTATGACAACAGTTGTTGTTACATTTTTTTTAATCAGTTCTGTGATACACACAGACACACAATATGATAGCCCTGGTTCAATTAAAAAATGATCAAATCAAATCAATTTAAGTTTCGATGCGTCTTAGCGCATGCTTATGAATGTCAAAAACGTTTACAAAATTCGCAAAAGAGCAAGACTACGCCATCCGTTCGCAAAACTACCAGGTGGCCTTGTTCTGAGAAGAACGGGCAAGAAACTCAGCAAGTTTTACCCTCCCTCTACATTACAATTATTCAGAGGAAAATGTCAAAAACCACAACGTCATTTAAGTTACATAAGTAAAAAGCACTCTGATGCGTAACTCGGACGATTTAGGAAATCGCCACGCTTATTACACTATGAAAGCCTGAGTGAGCAAAATGTACAGCCTTGGCCCGTACAGGCACCGTAAAGCCCAGACGCAGAAATGTATCTGCCCCAGGCCCTATTCAGGGGCTCTTCAACAGTATACGTAGATACCCTAAGAAATATCGTAATAAATTTTCGATTGTATTGAGTCATGGTTCAATTTAAATAGGAACAAACAACTACATAACATGGGCTACTAAAGTATAAGATATACTACGATAAAATACCAAGGCATCTCTATCATTTTAAGAGATGTAACGGACCGCCGTAATACTTAAATAGCGCAATGTTCATATCTAGTACAATAAATGATGCATTCAACCTTCTTAATTATTAAAACATATATTAAAAGCGAGGGAATTTTATGACACACTCATAACAATAATTATATTAAGACAAGAGTTTTTTTTGACATGTAACACGCATTGATTTAGAAAGTTTAAAAAACACATCGTGACTGGCAGAGTGGATGGCACCAGACTTCGAGGCCGAACCCCTACTCGCTGGACCGTATAAGTAAAGGCCCTTACAGGTCTCACCATCCCAGAACCCAGGCGCAAAGGCTTGCCGAAGATAGGGGACAGTGAAGAAGTTGTGTGTACTAACACAACCTACAGAAATAAAGTGTGTGACTGAAGTAGAAGATGAATATGATTCTAAATAACTTTATCATCATCAACAAATTCAATTTCCGTGATAACTTAAGAATTGATCGCTATCGGAAAGTTTATATTCGCTTAGTTTATTATGTTCACATAATAGTTTGTGTATTTAAGCCTTCTAAAACTAATGTATCTACGAATAATGAATGATTAAGCAACCCATTAATAACAAGATTTTATTCAATCATAAAAAAATGTTTGTCCTTATTGATTCGTTGATTTAATCGTTAAAATTAATCCGTGTAATTTTTTACATATCCGTAAATATTGATTATAGTATTTAATGTAGGTGGAAGATATCTATTAAAGGCTCGATTGCGATTTTGTCTGCGAATTAGGTGAAAGTCCCGGTCTGCACTTCATATAACCGTCGCCATTTGGTTGCCCTCAATTTCCTTACACCCAGAATCTAGAGTTTAGATTCCCAACGTGGACCCCACAGGGAGGCCGTTTGATTGTTAAGGAGGGCTCTTCGTAAATTTATTACTTTTTAAAACAATTATTTGTAATTTCAGTTTTTCATTATATGTTTTAAAATCTTCTTACGGTGTTTTGTTAACAATTTCCAAGTAATTTCTTCCTAAAACCTATCATTTAAGTTACTTAAATTAATTTCTAAATTTAATTTCTTAGCAAGACAGTATGATTGACAGTAAAAAGATTGGCGGAGAGTTTATTGCCAGTTCTTCTCTTCCGTTCTACACCCTTGATTTGAGAATTGGCAGTAAATGTAAAATTAGAAGCGTTTCATATATATTTCTTTTTTGACGTTCATAAGTGTACATGTTACCTATATGAATAAATGATTTTGAATTTGAATTTGAATTGTTACGCCGCGCATATTATATCATGTAGTCAATGCGGCACGCTTGCGGTCTTCCTACCTCCATAATTAATCTATAGTGAGATGTTCACTAGCCTTGATTGTATTGCCATTTTTTACAAAAATAACTATAATTTTCATTTTTTGTTTACTCGAGAGAAAATTAAGTATAATTTTGTCCTAATTTGTTCTATTAGTCGGAATAAAGAACTAATTTGAAATATACAATTCTGTTTGAAGCAAGTCGCTTTTTAATGAGCGACATTAAGTCTTTTAAGACTAAAAGCCGTACACAAAGCATCTTTATAATACGATACTTAAAAAGAACCAGTGCCGCTACAACCTTTTTAGGACTGGGCCTCAGATTTCTGTATCTATGTGTCGTCATCATTTGTTTTTTTTCTAATAGGCCCGTAGGTGATCTGCTCTCTGCGCCTGACACGCAGTCGACTTTTTCGGTCGACGGCATAAATGTTAACGATGTTTTCGATTGAGCGGGTGTTAAATCAGTTACAGGAAGTCGATTTATTCAAGCCGGGGTTCGAACGACCTGAGTCATCACTGTCGGACGTTGAAGCCACAACGCCAACACTGCTATAATAAACTGACATTTAAATTGGAGCGTTTCTTAACACAGCTTTTGCCGCGCACCACCACTATGTGGAACCAGCTGCCAACTGAAGTATTTCCGAACCAATTCGACTTAGGGTCCTTCAAGAAAAGGGCGTACCAATTCTTAACAGGCCAGCAACGCACTTGCGAGCCCTCTGGCAATGTGAGTGTCCATGGGCGGCGGTATTAATGAACATCAGGTAAGCCTCCTGCCCGTTAGCCTCCTATAACATAAAAAAATTGGAGTGTTCTAACTACGGCAAATATCTACATATGTATTACTTTATATAAAAAAAACTATTCGTTACCAAAACGGATACGTTTTAAATGAAAGTGTTATTAGCAGAATATGATTGATATGTCAGCTATCCGGTTTAAGAGAAAGTGTAACGTCGGGTCGAATCTCAGGCTTTTTTGTATAGTTTTCTAATAAAACACAATTTGTTTCGGTTAAAATTCTATTTATATACTAGAAAAGTTGTTGATATACCTACAGGATATTGTATTAGACGCGATATTTCATAAAAAAACATATTACATAATAAATATGTATAATAAAAAAATATATCGTATATTAAAACCTAAACGTAGCAATCAAATATAATTCATATCATTCAATCATTCAATTCATAATTCAATCAAGTATTTACAATTCTCTTAACCTACATAATTTAAATAAATAAAAAGAAAGTTTGGTCCCTGTGGCAGTGTACCTTTAACGCTGGCAGCATTACCTCGCTGTATTGCGATTCTTATTTATAAATATTAGAATAGTTATTCGTTACGTGCGTATTTCGATAGAATCTCCGTGTGAACGTTTGTTAAACACAAAATTGACTAGAGAAATTGCAGGCTTTTGTATCGACGAGATCAATTTAAAATAATTGAAAGACGCCCTTGATAGCTGCTACAATTATTGATATTTAAGTAGAATGTAGTGTAACGAGTTATGCAACACATTTCTCCGTTGGCACGCATTTTTTGTCCGAGTGGCGCGCCTTTGATCGTTTACTTTTGACTTTTTTTGGTTTAGTTCTTAATTACGTTAAGTATTATAGAATAAATTACATACAGTGTAATAGGACTTTGAAGTTAATGTAACGTCGAAAGTAATCGACTTTACCGCTATGTGGAACCAGCTGCCTACTAAAGTATTTCCGTCCTTCAAGAAAAGGGCGTACCAATTCTTGAAAGGCCGGCAACGCACTTGCGAGTCTTCTGGCTGTGTTTAAACCATCTCTGAACTTCCACAAATATTACAAGGCTAACAAATCAGTCCAGCCATACTCGAGTTTTAACGAGACAAACGAACAGCAATTCCTTTATATATATTTATTATGAATTATATATATATATATATATATATATATATATATAGATACAAGCAAACCATCTAGTGATTATGTACATTTTAAATGTAGGCAAATTAAATTATGTCAGACTAAAGTCAAAGAAACACTGTCAAAAGCACACAACATCTGTTTCATTGATAATTTTATTTAACGGTAAATGCGCCATCTGTGCCTTCAAAGCGCAGTTACTTGCCAAGTCGCAAGGACTTCCGCATTGAATTAACAAAGTGTAACTGACCTAAGGCGTTTGAATATTTAATAAACAATATACTTATACTTATATGCTGGTACTTTCCTGGCTCAACGAATAAGTATCGCAATACCGCAAGGAAATGCTGCCAGCGTTAAAGGTACACTTGCACAGGGTACAAACTTTTTAAATTTGTTTTGATTTTGTTTTTAATAATTTTATTATTACTTTGTAGGTTAAGAAAATTTGTAAATACTGCATACTTGATTGTAAATAAAGATTAATTAACAATATTTTATTCATATTTATGCCGCCCATTGTTCAGAAGTAGTTCATGCTCTGTGTTTTCTTATATATCATCATGTAAGTATGCAAATTGTAACAATATTACAAATACATTACAATAATGTTTCGTTGTACAATGTAATTTTTTAAAAAACGTCACGCTCTGAAAATAAATGTAATTTGGATTTTACATTCATATTGAAAGGGTATGTCATAAGTTTCAAGTTGTTGCTTGTAGAATGCAGTTTATACACCATATGCCAAACAGAACACATTTCTTAAATATGTTCAAGTTATGTAGTATAAGTTGTCGCTTCTTCTTCCAACTTACCGTAACTTTGTTTATCATGCTCTTAATGAGGTTTAAGTTTCTATTGAGTTTTAGTTATTATTTATTTTGTTGCTTACTCGTTTAATTAAAGTTTTCCATTGCTAGCTTGTGTTCTTATATAATTGATGTGTTTGTGTAAAATTTGTGATTTGAATTTGTAATATCTTGTATAAGTTTATGCATATGTTAACGTAAAATTGTAAATACCGTTAG